CTATTGGCCAACTGTTTTTAAAGATGCTTATGAGACTTACCGCACTTGTAAAGAGTGTCAGATAGCAGGTACGAACATCACTCGCAAGAGTGAAATGCCTCAGCAACCTATGCTTTTCTGTGAGGTATTTGATGTATGGGGAATTGACTTCGTGGGTCCCTTTCCTGTATCGTTTGGTTTCTTTTATATTCTGCTTGCTGTTGATTATGTCTCAAAGTGGGTAGAAGCTATCCCCACTCGGACTAATGATTCTAGAGTTGTTGCAGATTTTGTCAGATCTAATATCTTTTGCAGGTTTGGAATACCGCGAGCTATCATCAGTGACCAAGGCACGCATTTCTGTAACCGCACCATGGAAGCTTTGCTCCGAATGTATGGAGTTGTGCATAGAGTCTCTACTGCATATCACCCACAAACTAATGGGCAAGTTGAGATCTCAAACAGGGAGATCAAACAGATTTTAGAGAAAATGGTGCAACCAAACAGGAAGGACTGAAGCCGTCGTCTAGAAGACGCACTTTGGGCTCAGAGAATAGCTTTCAAGACACCCATTGGGATGTCTCCTTATCGACTTGTTTTTGGTAAGGCATGTCATCTTCCTGTTGAGATAGAACACCGTGCCTATTGGGCGGTGAAAAGTTGTAATTTGGAGATGCAACAAGCAGGTATTGAAAGAAAACTCCAATTACAACAGTTGGAAGAGCTTAGATTAGAGGCTTATGAAAGCTCTAGAATTTATAAAGAAAAAACTAAGCACTTCCATGATAAAATGATTTCTAGGAAAGAGTTTTCTGTGGGCCAACAGGTTTTATTGTTTAATTCCCGCCTTAAGCTTATGGCTGGGAAACTTCGATCCAAATGGATTGACCCCTTCGTTGTTACTAATGTTTTTCCTCATGGTGCAGTAGAAATTAAAATTACAGGTACTGACAAAGTCTTTAAGGTTAACGGGCAGCGTCTGAAGTTATTCTATGGAGGTTCGGTGTCTGAAGATGTCGGTATAGATGAGCTTTCTTTGGAAGCGCCTAACTACACTGCAACTTGATCAGGGAGTTGTTATTTCCTTCTCTTTACTTTAATAATTATGTCTCATTGAGGACAATGCTTGTTTTAAGTCTGGGGGAGGGAGACCTTTGTTTTATTTTGTTTGTTTTTTCAGTTATTATAAGAAAAATAAAAAAATTTGCATCTTTTTGAAAGTTCTGGGCTATAGTCTAATTTGGGATTAGTTTGCGGAGACTTGGGAACAGTTCATAAGATCGATATCGTTTTAACACCTTGAGTCTCCCAAATATGGAAGTCGAGCTAGATACTTGTTATGGCATAGTCTTGAGTTCCCGTCCTCTAATAGCTCTTAAGTAGTTTATCTAGCAGTCAACACCATCTAGAAATCACATACTAAGTAGTTGAGCTGATGCAAATAAGTGAATGATCATGTGCTTAATAAGAAGTCAAAATGGGAATCCGCCTTTTAAGTTAGGTGACTCTCACCCGGTCATTTAGGCTAACGGTTGTGAAACCTTAAAAAAAGAAAGAAAAAAAAGAGACAAAAATCTGAATTATTGAAAAGGAAAAAATAATAATAATAATATGGATCATAGTCACCAACAAGCTCAATTACCATGTGTGTGAATAGATAAAGGGCTTAATGTGATTGCACTAGAATGAAAGAGAGTGAAAAAAGAGGATGAGTAAGTTAGACTTAGGTATAACGACATGATTTAGATTGATTTGTATAGGAGGGAGCCTTATGACCGCACAATTGTGGATTAGTGTTCCTACGATATCCTTAGTGTGTAAGATTAGTACCTATCGATGCAAACTTAACCGAAGAAGACTTGTAGCCTAGAATGAGTAGTTATTGATGTGTGTGCACTTTCTTTGTTTTATTTTAATTTTGCTCGGAGTGCAAAAGTTCAAGTCCGGGGGAATTGTTTACATCTGTCTCCGTCAGCTACAGCTTTCAAATTGTCTCTTCATGCCTATAGTGACTCCGACTGGGCCAGTGACCCAGATGATAGGCGGTCCACATCTGGCTCGTGTATATTTTTTGGTCTCAATCTTGTCTCATGAAGCTCTCGCTCACACCACCTCTGAACTACTATGGCTTGAGCCATTGTTGTCTGAGCTCAAAGTCACGTATCACACTCATATTCTAATGTGTGATAACTTAAGTGTGGTGCTGCTATCTCATAATCTTGTTCTTCATGCTCGCACCAAGCATATTGAACTTGACATACACTTTGTGCGTGAACGTGTTGTGGTTGGACAACTACGTGTGCGTCATGTCCCGACGTCTATACAACTAGCTGACACGCTTACCAAACCCCTTGGCATTGGAGCATTTCAGAATTTAAGGCACAAACTTAAGGTTACTAGTTTGGAAACTCTTACCATGAGTTTGAGGGGGGGTATTAGAGATAAGTTTGAAGAGAGAAAAGTCCCCACCCTTGTATAGAAACTATGTATATATAGGGTACCTTAATGAGTGAATAATACACAATAACAATATACTATTTCATATCATTTGTACTTTACTTTCTCTCTCTCTCTCTTTTTTATCAGTAACAGAATTCTGATACTCAATGATGAACCTCCATGTTCATCTTCATCAACACTAGTACGTAGTATTAAATTTTCGAATGAGAATTTTGTCATCCATTATAATTCTATATAACTCAAGAGATTAATCTTTACAATTGCACACCGATGATATTCGATTTTATTTATATCAAATAATAATCATTAGTAAATCCCTCTAACAATAATTGTTTATAGATCAAATGGTAAGCATTAGTAAAGTTTACACAAAAATTGTAAGCTTGTCCAAGTTAACAACATTCTTCAGTTAAATTAAGTTTTATAAATTTTAACGTATTCTAATTTTTAAAGTATTTTTCACTTTATTTTAAGCAAAAGTGATAAATTTATGTTTATTTTTTATGCAACATTTATCTAAAAAAATGATTAAGTACAATATTTAATTAAATCACATCATAATATCCTATTCCTATGTTAAATATTTATGCAATAATTTAATTGAATATGTGTTTAAAATTTTTTTTAAAGATAATGTTAATTTGTACAGTTAATGCTAATTTGTATCTTAGGAAAAGAAACTCATACAGAAAATTTTTATAGAAAAAAATTGTAACAAAATAAATTATAAGCTTGTGATAAATCAATACACAATTTTTAAAATAATATTTTCACATTTAATTCTTAATCTATACCGTTATTAATATATACAATTAATACTTTTATAAAATGTTCAAATAAAAAGTTATTCAAAAACTAATTGGAAAATAAATTATATATCAAATAAAAATTATTTTTCCGTCAATAAAAATTTATATTAGTTAAATCTATTAATTATTAAAATCACTTTCCTTGATAATAAATTGATTATAATTTCAACCAATAAGTTTTTTTTCTTTTGACAAATGGATAACTTGTTTGATAATTAATATAAATTATGTTTTTATTATCTCATACTTCTCAACAACTTCACCTTCAAGAAACACACACTCCAACAGTATCTTCAACCCCTTCAAGATTCAAACTTTGATTCCAGTTGGCGATTTCAACAACACCCAGAAACGATTTCAACTCAATCAAGCAATCTTTTCACCATTTCAAAATCTGGGTCACCATGAATATCAAGAGCAAAGAAGATTTCTGGGTATTTTACATGAACCATCATTCAAAGCCATCGACAAGAAAATGGCACTTCATAGGAACACTTTTGAGCATAATTTTCTTTCTCTGTTCAATAATCTTCACTTGGTGGTTCTTGTTTCTTGTTCCCTTATCTGGTTATGGACTTTCTATGTATAGTCATTTGTTCATTGAAGGGTGTTTTCCTGTGACTATTGGATACCCCTTTTGGTCTCTTCATTGTGATTTCAAGCTGTTTTGGTTTATGATTACTGGAAAAATGGATAGAGAGATGAAAAGACTTGGAAAGAGACCTGTGTTGCAACTTTTCTGATTTTTTTATGTAAGTTTGCTATAACTTTAGCTTTGAATTCAGCTGAGATTTTTATGTTCATTTTCTTGAGTTGTCTATAACAGTTTCTAGGATAAGAAATAATACAGAATATGACTGATTCTATTTTGTTCTTGTAGGGGCAATATATGTGCAGTTTTGGACATGATTTGCTACTGGTGAAGATTATTCTTTGTATTTAGATTACCAATCTTTGATGAAAAGGCTATGTGATGATATGTATATATAAAAAAAATCATACTAGTGATATGATCTATAGATACACATTCAAAGTACTTAGATATTTGTCAATTGTTGGCTGTAACTATAATGTTCTTTGATCATCAAAGTTTGTTGCTAACTTGTGTGGTTACTAGTTACAATTTAGTTGAAGTTTTGAATTATTTACATTTAAGATTTAATATAGATATAATATGTTAATTTTAAAATTATTTTAATATAAAATAAAATTGGACATATCTGAGTCCATTTCATCTGGCCAATACAGGTTTACTTAAACTCAAAGGTTTAACAACCTGGCATGTGTTCAATGTTAATGAATAATGACATATCCTTATAATTTAACAACTTTCATTAATACCTTTTAAAGAAAAAAAATTTCATAATACTTCAAATACCCAAAATGTCTCGTTACTGTTTTGATCATTTTCACATTGTAAAGTTGTAACCAAATCTTAGAAAAATGGAAATAAATCAGAAAATGCTATATATTATTATAAATATCTATTCCGTTATAAAAATGCCAAAAAAGACACTAATCCAGTTCTACATTTCAGTATCTGATTACACTACACATTAAGGGAAAAACCCCAACATCACGATCTCGTTCACTGTGTTGTAACACCCAACTTTCCTTCAACCAACCAAGCTTGAACAAATGCTCCTTGTAAACTAAAACTACTTGTGGTATCCAGGCTCGACCCTATTTGATGTAAAATTCACATTTTTCAGAGCTCAGAGATCCTAGAGCTCGAAACAAAAATGATCACCATTAATCATTGTTCCTTGAAAATGATGGCAATGGCACTGCACCTTGTGGACGAAGGATGACAAGCACACCAAACATCCCAAGCATTGGAAGAACAAGAAGCCATTTCAACAATTTATAGTAGTACATGTGGAATGTAAGTGAGAATTCGTCGGAGAAATATAGTCCGTTTTTGTCCACCATCTCAACTAAAACTGTTCCTGTGGTCCTTACTCCCACAGTTGGCAGCTTAACTCGATATTTACCAGGTTGAGAATAGGTCTGGTTCTGCTTTATTGTTCTATCTCCTTGGTAATTACCAGGGACAAGCAAGGTTGTCTGATGAGTTCACAACATGAAAAGGAAAGGAAAAAAAAAAAATCAAAAACTGAGTGCTCGATAGGAGAATAAGTTATCTAAAGTAATTTGGTTGAAAACTCACAGTGACATAGTATGGTCCTTGATGACCAGATGGGTATCTGTAATTATCTACAATTTCAATTTCCACCCAAAAGCTCTTGCCTTCCTCATCACGGAATGCCCTAGAAGGATGAGTAACGTAGATGCCTTGACGACCGTATCGACTTGCAACATTATTTCTTCCTTGGTTAGGCAATCTCCATGCCTAAGACATGGTATTATAAAGCAATTAAGCAAAAGACGAAAGTTTAAATGATATAAACTGACTCTGAAAAAATACCCTACCTTGAGGGGATGGTGAGGAGAGGGAGTTGAGAAGCAGAAGACATTGCCATTCATTGTTGAGACAATCAGATCAAGATCATCCCCCCCATCTACATTGTCTGCCAAAATCATGCTATATCTGCATACAAAATGACACGTTCATATAACTTCTAGAAGATAGAATGAAAAGAAAATTCATGAAATTGTGAAACTACACTGTTAGAGATTAGAGAATTTCTTACGAAGTTTCACCAATGTCAACAACATCAGCACAGCCTGTAGGTCCATCAATGAGGTACAAATAACCATCAAATGAAGCAGTAACAATAGTCAACCCCTTCTTCTTTTCCTTCTGTTTACTTAAATCAACTAGAAGAACTTGATTCATCACTCTTCCGTGAGTTATAAATGGATACCGTCCAATAGATGATCCATCCCTTCCATCAAGAACGTGAATCTTCCCAGATAGTGTTGGCACAACAAGCTCAGTGTGGCCATCCCCATCGATATCACCAATAGTTGGAGCCTGTGGAAAATTATTTAGATGAAATTGACAAGTCAATTTTTAAAGAGGAAAACAGCTGAATGGTTGCTTATACAGTGGGTAAGTTGTACAAGCTATGCATTCGGAGCAGCAGTACAAAGGAATAGTTAGTGCAAGTTGCGCACCAACAATTTGTTAAGAATTGTAACAGCTTTGCAAATTAATCACATATTGAAACTTGACCGACAACTCCGGTGGTCCCACAGTGCAATAATTCAATCCTGGTCCTCTAATCAAATTTTCCCAATTTATAGTCTCTTATTTATAACAGTATTGCTTTACTAAACTTTTCCTAATATTTGCATATTATCTGAAGCAAAAGACTCAGAGTTGAAGCTACTGAGTTCCATATTAAAAAGGCCTTGAGTTTGCAGAATCCCTAAACCCACATAGCAATAGTTATTGAAGTATAGTGTAATGGAGCATTTGAGAGGTCTTATTTGGGTTTATCTCACAACATGAGCAATTGAGTACACATAAATGTTCGCTAACTATTCTTAACTTATGTTTATAAATGTCTAAAGATAGATTATAGAAATAGCTTATATTACAGTTTACGTGGTGTTAACCCTCATTTTCTCTTGAATTGTAGAAATGGCTTATTCGTACACACTAAATATATTACTTCCTCCGCTGTTACTAGTCATTTAGTCTCCCCCCCCCCCCCCCCCAAAAAAAAAAAAAAAATCCAACATTTTAGGATTTTCTAAATAATATCAAAGCAAGCAACCCATAGAAAGCATGAAAAGGTGCAGATATAAACCTTGTATGAAGTAAACAGTTTAATGTGTTATAAAGAGTGATATTTCACGTAAGCATTCTATCATCAGAAACAGAATTAAAAATGTAAAATATAAACCGACAGCCGAAAGGAATGTATCGAGACCATGATCGGAAATGATTGACCATGCAAAATGGTAATCTTATTTCTTTCAGAAATCTGATGGCACATGAGAAACATAAAGCTAAAACTATGCAAGTCCTGGCTTACTTTCATCACTCTTCCCTTTTTAATCTAAATGTCACATATTCTTCCTTTTCACTGGTATACATTATAGTCTCTCACTTATCCGTCCATCCTACAATTATCTTAGTTGAGTGCGTCACATTGGATGTGATATGGCTTGAAAGTGTGTTTATAAGTCAAAGGCTTCCTTCATCTTAAAAACCGATTTTGTACAGCTGACTTAGGCTCAACTCAAATTCCAAGATGATATTAGAGTCTACCCTAAATTCATGGGCCACTCGCAATCAGGGTCACTCAGGTCACATTCTAGACGTCAACTCCTGGGCGTAAGGGAATGCGAGTTGAGAATATCACTTTGGATGTAATTTGGCTTGAAAAGGTGTTCATAAATGAAAGGAACCTCTAATCTTACAAGTCAATTTGTACTATTGAGTCAAGTCTAGCCCAAATTCTAAGATATCTATCAACCCAGACCAATTTTAAAATGCTATTAAATACATACATTGTCCGCTCCACGATCAATAATCAGAAAGATAGCACAAATGCGTGCATTCATGCTATATTCATTGACATGCTAAAGATTGAGATAGTACATTACATGTGGAATAAGACTCTTCAGATGCTTTTCCCATATCAAATCTCCTTTGGGGGTCCATACAACAACATTTCCATGTGTATCAGCTGTAACTAGCTCAATTTTCCCATCATCATTAACATCAGCTGCAACAACACCTCCTTGAATCTCGGCCATTTCAAGAGGGAACTTTTCTCTAATTTTACCTATTTGAGAAATAAAAATAAATAAAAAACTATTATTTGATAAACAAAGGAAAATATATACACAGACGCGAACTGTGATTCCAAAGCTTCCTTTCAACTAATAAATAAAAACAATGCTAAAATAATAGTGAGCCACCCATGAAATTGAATCATATTTAGCCACCACTAATTATGCTTATAAAAAATCCCAAAAATAAGATTTCAGATCCAAAACATGTCCACACTTATAGTGCAAAACTTCACTGTCAAGAAATTGCAATAAAACAAAAAGCAAAAATAAAATTCTAATAGGATCACAGAAAAGAAACACTTCTAGTTTGTATTGATAATAAGGAAACTTGTGAAAGAATCCTCTATACAAGATAAATTAAAACAGTGAATTTAATGGATGAACATTATAGTAAAAGTTTGTGTCTTTGATACATCAACCATCCTGCTATACCATTTTTGGGGGGTGGTTGTGCTACTATTTGTTCTGGATAGAACATTATAGTAAAAGTTGATCCATGTAACCCCACTTAGTGGGACAAGGCTTGGTTGTTGTTGTTGTTGGTTGTGCTATTATGTGGGATTGATAACTAGGAAATCACTAATAAACCAAAGTCCCAGAGAAATCAATGAAGACAGCATAGAAGCATATAAAAATAAGAAATTTAATACAAGGGGGTAGTAGAGAAGCGGGCTCCAGGCATTACCATGATGATCTAACACATAGAATAGGCCATAAGAAGTTCCAACAAGAATGTCTAGATACCCATCACCATCCAAATCTACAACAGTAGGAGAAGAATATATGAATGCTCGGAAGTTTGCTGTATCTGTACTCATATCAAGCTCTGCAGTCCACTTAACTTGTTTTGTATCCAGATCAAAAACAACAATACCACCGGCAACATATTTCCCAATGTCAATGTCACCCAGTTCTTTCTTATGCTCCTGGTTGTCATAATACCTGTCAGCTTAAACATTGCTAATTACCACCAGACCACTATATTAACAATTACTCATTTGTTAAGTGTAGACTATACCAATATAAGAAAACCAATCAATGTCAAAAATCACATTGCACTGGTTGCTATGAATTTGATGACAGAAAAGAAGAAAAAAACCTAATGCAATAAAAACATTTCAAAAACTGGATTGTGCTACTAAAACTCAGCCAAATTCAAAGTACAAAGATGATTGAATGGAATTATCTTAAATAAAATACTACACTGGATTTTGATGCCCTCAACAATTATGAAATCTCACTTATGTTCTAGTCACTTTTGGATATAGCCCAAGAATAAAGCATTCAATTTTGGCCTTATATTTTTTCATTGAGGACCTGGTGTATATCCAGAATCTCGAAAAGTATTTATCTATTCTATGTTAGCAACTAATAAAAAATATATATACAAATTAATACTAACATATACATACAATAAGCATCTTTGTATTGTGCATGTATTCAGCTCAATCCTTTATTTAAAGGATTGGGCTGAGTAAGTTTGATTGCAATTAGTGGAACGAACGATAATTACTGGATTACAAAGAAAACCGCGAGTTTCATTGATTATTCCTTCTACAGAAAATATTATGAACGCCATATCTGTTAACACATCACATCTCCAAAGCTTCCCAGCATGTGACTTTTATCCTACAGATAACTCTTGTTTTACAGAATCAGAAAAACATTTTGAACATTTATATTATAATTCATCTTTTGACAAGCAGTAATCAATTAAAAGTATAATATATATATATATATATATATATATATATATATATATATATATATATATATATATATATATATATCTTTTGTTTTTAGCTATCTAATATCGTATACAGCTGCCAAGGGATGTCAGAAGGTTGAAGACATCTGAAGTTCTAAACCAAATTTTTATCGCTTTAACAGTGAAACTGTAGGGGCCTTTCTTTCATCTATTTTTCATTTGACATCCTTTTTCACAATGTAAAACTTTATCTTCCCAACATACCCTGTTTCCGATACTGCAAAACAGAGCATGTATTGAGTTCTCTACCAAAGCCCAAGCAGCATCAACTTTGTTATGTTTGAAAGTAATTAAATTCTGAAATTCCTATATCCTATTTCCATTGGGTTCACTGATAGGAACCAAAATATATTGATACCATAAATATAGACGAATAGAGCTCTGCGCCTTACAGTTTAAGGTATATCCCTCTGTAACACTAATACAGAAAACAAAGATAAAAATGCATAAAGAAGAAAGAAGATAATAGGAGAGGAACTCCTCCCTCAAGCACAATGCTTGCCCATAGCCTTTTACAAAATATTCCATACCCCAGGTTCCACTCTTTTTATAAACACTTCTTTTCAATGCAAAACTACCCAAACCAATACGCCACTGCACCTGTCCAGTCAGTTATCCCTTGTAGTATTTTCCAAGATTGTCAAAATCCTGATCTAGATCTTATAATTCTCCAATTTCGCGATCCCACTCACACCCCCAACGATTCGATATAAAGTAGTACAGAGTGTTGTAGCCAAATTCTTAAAATAATCATAAAACCACTGATTAGGTGCGATCTTGGCCAGTTCCGGCCACGATCGACCGTTTTCCAATTACCACAATTACAGGCCGAGAAGGATGACAAGATGCCGAAGTGCGACAATTACAGTTCGGAGGAGGCCATTTTCCCACGAATACACTTGCCTACCAAAATATCATGTTTAAAAACTTCAAATATATAGATAGTATTATTTTTCGTTTCAGTAATATCTTATGATTTTTGTAACGATGTTATGTTTTACGATCTTGCTACCCCTACCGATCTTACAAATAATTGGGTAAGATCTTACAATCTTAGTCACGATCTTATGTTTTACAATCTGATCTTATGTTTTACAATCTTACTATTCCCTCCCGATCTTGACAACTTTGGTATTTTCATTATTCCCCGTCATACCCACCTAACAACCGTCTAACTCATTATTCATAGATGTATGTAGGCATATAGGTTGAAAGTCTATTAAAATGTACAGCTATTACGTCCACTAAATTTATTTTATATACAAACGTAAAGTTTTAAGTTTTTTATAATGACAATAGAAAAATAATGAATATAGGTGACATCATTTAGTCACAAATACAATCTGAACTTATTTTTACTGTATTATCTAAACTCACAAATACAATCTCTCTTCTGAGTTTCATTCCCATCAGATGATGGTTCACTTTCCTAAAATAAAAAAGGCAAACCATGAAGTACATACTGATTAAATGACAACAAAAAAGGTGCACAGCTAGTCAGCTGCCATCATATTCGCATAACTATGAGTTCCAATCACAGAATTGTTATGATTAAGAAACCAAATGAAAACAGCATAAATGAAATTTAAAAACAAAGTGCAAGGATAGACTCACTCATGGTCAAAGAAATAAGAAACACCAACAACCATTTCCATTACACCGTCATTGTCAATATCTGCAATGACCTGACAAAGCCAAGAAAAAAACTACAGTGAAAAGCCAAAGTTTTGTTTATACCCTCTCCAGGACTTTAACAAATGCAAAATTAGTAAACTGCGTATTAATAAATAAATAAATAAAGGTGTAGGCGGAACTAACCGGAGTGCACAAGATGTGTGAGTCAACATTCACGTAATCCTCTAATTTCTCATGTTTCACTTCAGTCCATTCTTCATCACCCCACAGCGATTCATCAACATAATCATCATAATCGTAGCTGTACTCATCGGCCAACTCATCACTATTGCGGAATAATTCGAAAGACGAATCAGCATCTGCTTCCAGTCCTTCCTCATTTTCCACAGTTGCGGCATGAACGCCTTCGTTACCTTTGGATTCAGAATCACTTTGCTCAGCTCCTTTTACGTTGTTATCTTCCAGCAGACGCCTCCCAGTGCTGGTTTTATTATCTGCACTGACAGTCACCACAGAACCAGCATTCACAGTTGAATTATCTGCACTGACAGTCTCCACAGAACCAGCATTCACGGTTGAATTATCTGCACTGACAGTCTCCACAGAACCAGCATTCACAGTTGAATTATCTGCACTGACAGTCCCCACAGAACTAGTATTCACATTTGAATTATCAGTAATTGTTGGCATCTTAATACTCTCCTCTGATTGGCTTCCATTTATTTTATTTTCAGGCTCGGGATTAGACACACTTTTTGTGTCAGGGTGACTTTCTGTTGATGTGGCAGCTGAGGAATTGACTTCGTGTTTGCTTCCATTTGTTTCTACAAGAAGAATTATCACCCCAAAGATAAAATTAGATTAGATAAAAATAAAGTGAACATATTTAAGGATCTTTAAGCTATGTCTATATCCAACAATTATCCAAGAAGTAAGCGCATAAGAAACATACCGGACGTTGATTTTGCAATAGTGGCTTCATGGACAAGTTGCTCATCGTGAACATCTGGATGGGTGCGGTCCGCTGGATCAGCATTCAAACCCACATACCAATTTTTAAGCACTTTCCTACGTGGGACCTCAAGCTTTTCTGACATGATATAACCGGAAGCCCTAAAAATGAAAATTTATTATAACAACCTTAATAGAAGCACATCATAGCAATGGATAATTTGTAAATGGAAGAAAAATTCAGAAACTATGCATAAAACACACCTGAAAAATAGCACTTCACCATTGTAGGTTGCCAAAGCAATTTCTCTCACCCCATCTTTGTCTATGTCATATAGAAGTGGACTAGAATGCACAGTTGATTGATGGAAAGCAGGCCAGCCTGAAAACCCAAGCAGAATATTATTTTGAATAAAGTCAAATCAAACACCGAGTGATATCACAATAAGGACAGGTAGTGATCATAAGTATTTGCAATGATTAGCTAAATCTTAAAAACCCATTTACATAAATCCTTTTCAGACCATCCATTCATAACAATATTAATATACTGTCATTCTTTAGGCTTCCATACAGAATTATAGATAAGAGTGTCTACTCCTCAAAGATTGGGATTCTTAGACATTGCCTATTGAAATCTCTTCTAAAACTTCCAAGCTCATTCAACTACCCAGGAATGTTAAGAATGGGATCCTTCATTCTTGATGAATACGAATGGCGGCTTCTCAATTTGTCACTATCCATGACCCGAATCTCCGATATCAGAGCTCTTAAACCAAATAATAGAAAATGGTATTTTTAATTAAAAGATGTAGCGGAAAAAATCCCTTATAACAATAGTACAGCTTGCAGAACTTCTAGGGTCTACACCTCCCAATGTCCAGAAGCCCCAACTCTCATTTGACATGATTTCCTGTCTCTAAATTCTTACTCTTCGTTATATACAACACAATGAAACCCTTTATATACACCCATATCCTAACAGTACAAGGAGCAAATCTCCTTATGTGGTCATATCATACTTTTATGCCAGACTTTACATGACTAATATCTAACCTAGTAAGAGAGAAGAGTTGTATTAAGCAATCAGAAACCAACCTAAAACTTTGTCAAATCACATATATGAACCAACAACACAACGGCACCAATGCTAGGTCATTACCCATGTATCACACTATGTAGCTCAAGTATATTTTAATGAGCAAGAGCCGTTACAACAGCTTACAAAGGTGGTGCAAACAGGAATAGGCCATATATAGGACAAGCAATCATTTTTTAGTCATTTGCTTCTCTCTGGACACAGAACATCAGATAGTAACATAGCATTCGTCTTAACTATCTTCTAAATTCTAAATCCTTCTGCTGAATTCTCTCCAAATCTAAACCCCCTTCAAATACTCTTAAACCTTACCCTATACTAGAATCAGCCCAAATCAATATCATTAAGAGAACGAACATGTATCTTACAGTTCATACACGTATCTTATCTCAAAAATGAAACAGAAAACTTTGACGACCTTTTTACCTGGCATTTTGTCCCCGTCGGTACCTTCTAGAACTTCAAGATAGTGCACAAACGATGGAATCACTATTTCAAGCTTCCCATCACTGTCAAAACAAAATTGCAGACATTTGATTTGATGAAACCAAAAAGCAAGCACACAAATTAAAAAATCATTTAATTGATGTACATATGTATCAAATATCAATATACCCTTAACTTTCTCATTAATGGTTTTACTAATTCTCATTTTTTTTTAATGCTAATAGCATCAATATTCCAAGGCTGAAATATATCTTAAACAAAACTCAAATATACCTTAAATTTCTAAAACATTCATTGTTTCGAAACAAAGATACAACAACCAAGCCTTATCCCACTAAATGGGGTCAGCTACAAGGACCAACTTTCACCCTAATGTTCTATTCAGAACCATGCTTCTATCCAAATCATTTAATCCTGCCTATGTTAGCTTTGCTATATATAGCCGGTCCCAACGTAAAAAGAGAGGAATGTATTAGACAGTCATCAGCCAACGTAAAACTTTGTCGAATCTATGACATGTTTCGAAACAAAGATAAAACCTTAAAACTATCAAAATAGGTCCAGCACATACACATATCACCAAGTAAAGGAAGGAACAGCACAAAAATCACACACATTAGACATCAGAGCATTACCTGTTAATATCAGCAATCAAGGGGTTTGCATAGATGCTGGAACTAACTTCCGTTTGCCATCTAAGCTCTAAATTCAAAGGACATTTTGAATTCACCAAAGCATCCTCGTCTCTAACCACATAACAAAAATCAATCAAACCAGTATAAAAAAAACCTAAATCAATGAAATCAAAGCAATTATGTGCGTATGAGTGAGTACATTTCAGGGTATCCAAGGGCATCATCGGAGGCTTCACGTTCCCGGAACGTATTCTTCTTGGAATCCTGGGAGAAAACGAATGAGAAGGTGCAGAGTAGAAGAAGAAAAAGAAGAAGCTTCGTTGACGAAGAGGGTTTCATATGAACTAATTTGGGATTGGGTAGATTGAATCGAAGAATTGAGAATTGATTTGGAAGATCAATTCAGCATTCTATGGTGGAGTGAAAAACCCTAGCTAGGTTTTATTATTGAGTCATGTGTGTGTGAGTTGGATCTGCGCATGGAAAGAAAGATTAAGAGTGGGTTCAGTGAAGATGGTTGTGTGGATTTACAGAATTACAGTTTCAAACCAGTATCAAAAGAAAGGGGAAGACGCTAATTGGACTCAAAATTGTCCCTTTTAATCAAAAAAATAAAAATGAAATTGTCCCCTTTTATTTTATTTTATGGGTATAGTATTTTATTATTGATATGATTTTTATTATATTCTAATGAAAATAAGACAAGTGTTAGCAACGGTAACGATCTGGTCGTCGTTGTATAAGGAAGGAATATCATTTGAGTCGAATTAAAGGGTGTTAGTCAGATTGATCGTCCGACTGTTAGTTGTGTCGTGACGGGAGTTTTTCCCCAACCACCAACAATAACACGAGCGTTTTGATGGGTAAGGTGATTGTCGTCAATTTTGCAAGGAGTTGATTGTCAGTGCTTGGAGTTGACCGTTTTTAGTGGTTGACTCGATTTTTAGAGTAATTTTTTATGGGGTGACTGTTTACTACTGTTTGTTGTTGTTTGGTGAGTTTGATGAGTAGACTCGGTATGTGGGTGTTGAGTGGGTAAGTGAGTGATGTATCGAGTTATTCTAACATGTTCAGAGTAGCGACAAAAGGTAATCGAGTTGAGATTTAGAGTACGTTTGGTGTCTCTAAAATTTACGAATAAAAGTGAAAGAGTTATGTATGAGCTCTAGTGAATCATGAGCTGACTCTATTGAGTGTTGATGTGAAATATTACCTACCAGTGGATATTGTTGGGTATGAATTTGTTTATATGTATTATAGTGAGTTATCATTATATGGTGTGATGTACTATGGTGAGGTATGTTTTTCGGATAAGAACTGTTGGTGATGGTTATTGTATTACATTGTTGTGCTATTTCATGCATCATGTATATCGGAGATAGGTAATTGGTGATGAATGGTGATGGGACGAAATCAGTAACATAACTCTGATGTCCAAATATTGGTGATTTGATTGATCAATAACATAACTCTGACATCCAAATTGGCGAGTAGATCGGTGTCATGCCTTAATTTTTCCTAGACATTTTCATTTCATCTGATCAATAGTAATGCTTGCAATTTTGTGTCCATAATATTTTTCATTAGTTTAATAAATAATCTCTTCATCTTTTATCTTTAAAACCATTTTGTTTTAAGTACCAATTTAGATACCACATTTTATCTTTACCGTTATCATTATATGCAAAAGTCAAATAAAGTCAGCCTTTTATTCATTCAAAATTCAAATATGTTCTAATTACATACATTCATCATTCAAAACTCATACTTTGCCATAATTCATGTTTACATGTCATTGTTAAGTATTTCGTTAATTTTTATTAAGTCAATTAAAAATACTAAAATGAAATAAAAGACAAGTTTAAAAAGAATTAACAAAAAATAAATAACTTTATTTGTGTTGCATCACACATGGCGCAAATCCATTATTAACCCATTGTTGCACATCCATTAAATTTATCCATTGGCGCACAGTCATTAACCCATTACATGCATAGATCAATCATTACATTCATGCATCATTTCATGCGTATTATATCCATAATTCCACATATGTGGTATATTACGCAAAGTAATCAAAGGCATATCATGCATCAGCAAATGCATCAAAAGAAAGCATATGCGCATAACATAAGCCATGATTTGTGACTGTCCATGGAAGTCAAGATTGATCCCAGCAAAGTCATTTACAACTCCCAAGTGAGTTTTACTCCAGCAAGACTTCTATGTAGTTTGTAACACCCTATCATCCCAAAATGCAAAATAAAGTGAAAATAATACAAATACACACGTAGGGTGTCACTTAAACATTACATAAGTATGCTTCGTAGCACGAGTTATTTAAAACATACATAATTAAACATTTGTCGTCATATGCTCGTCTTAACATGTCTCATCACAGAGGAATAATCGATTTAAAATAATTTAACAACCAAACATATCTCATACCATCAAAATGATCATGGTAATTTCCTCCATCATAAATAACATTGAAACAATATAAAATATCTAAACAAAACGTTTGTCCGCCCAATGTTATAGATCAGAGCAACGAAATACTAAATAAGCGCATAAAACTGGAAAAAGAAGAACAATATATATGTAATCTTTCAGCTTCTAAGCAGCTACTCAGTTACCTGCTCGTCTGTACCCCAAGAAGGAGCACAGAATCACACAAACAACAAAGAGGTGAAACTAAGCTCATAATATAAAATGGTGCAAAAGCATGCAAGGGTAGTGTAAGCGAACATCAACAATTATTCAACATAATTTAATTGGATACAATCACCAAATTATTCCCAATCATCAACATCTACATAACCACTCAATACATATGCAATTAATGAATATAAATAAACACCACGACTCAACAATGGATGTGGTACCATCTGTGGACAACTCGGGTCCATATCGCTCCTGAATTCCCACCATAGGACCAAATCAAACCAAATTGTTATCATCATTGTAGGTGACATTTCACCAGTTCCCACATGGAACCGACTACTCGTTCCTGAATCTACATCATCATACCAAAGCACGCCAAAATTTATTGTTATCACTATAAGCAACGCTTCACTAATTCCTCATTGGAATTAGCTACTCACTCCTAAAGTCATACCATCGGGCCATGGCCCACCAAAAATTGGACTGAAGTTCATGCATTATGCTGCATGATTCACCAAAACATGCAACCTCACCAAAAATGATCACTGTGAATTATCACAAATATGCATAACATTCTCCATACAACATAAGTGCATTAATTTAATAATAATTATCTTGAACAACATCATGTTTTTTCAAACAGCAACCAAAAATAACCTAAACACATCACAACGCCAAAAATTAGAATCAACATTCAATTCCAAGCTAATGAGCGAATGATATGCATTTTGGCAGCGTGATGGGTTACCCGTCACTAAGGTGACGCATGTCACCTTCCACATTATCTCACATATCACATATGTGATGATCTTCCCAACTAACTCTGCCTGGGGACCATAACAGTCTACCTATCAGGCAGCTGACGTCCGTTAGCGCCTCCAAAGCGATGACGACTAAGGCGCCATTAGGGTGACGCCTGCCACCCTGAACCAGAAGCAGGACCTACATTTCCTGCAATGGTGTTCAAAACAGAACTCCGATTTCAAATCCCTTGACCCTAAATTGAACCATAATAGCATGGGACATGTCATCAAACATCAAAGCATTAATTATCCCTCAATTAATATGCAATTTCACTCATCTAATCATGGATTTGACATACTTTTTTCATCAAAACTAAAAAACACATATGAATACACCTTAATATCGATACTATCAACAAGAGCACATCATTCACATGGAAAAACAGTGCATGAAAATCACACAACAACACGCATAATCACGCAATTACAAAATTTCATCTCATGTTCATCCAACATTCATCAAAGGGGAAAAAGTATAGAAAATTTAATGGGATTAAGGAATTCCCTCTACCCAATCATGCAATATACACCTTATTAGGAGTAATCCCTTATTCCCTTAAATTTCCCAATAAGGTGCAACTTCAAGCACTAACAATGGAGTTCTTCACATGCCCTGGCCCTTGCCTTTTCCTCTTTTCACCCAAATTTGGTTTTACATAAAACTCTCAAATTCCTATTACTAAAATTTTCATTAGTAACCTAATATTCCTCGATTATTAGCTTTCCAACACTGCCCCCACTTATTCCTCTAATCACCAAAATATTTGATCTGCGGTCGCTCGCGGATCAAAAACGAGTAGTTTTGATAAAAATGTAATATAGCGACAAATGACTCGAAATATCGTCTCACAAGGATTCTTGTGGGAAAATCAATAACAGTAATAGATTAGAATATGGGGGGAAGGGGGTGGTTGGTTTTGATTTAGAAAAAAACACTTAAAATAATTGATTATGAAAATAAGTTGTTTATGGGAATAAGTCGATCTACTGTTCAGTTCCTATCTATCATCGATTAATAAATTCTTATCGTCCTAAGCGAACACATATACTATTCCTGTTCGATCAACATCACATTCAACAAGCGAGAATGAAACTATATGAATTATATCTCCTATTTACCGAATTAAGCAAACGGTTAAAGATAAGCGAATTAACAGATTAAGCAAACGGTAACATGCGAACAAAGTTAGGGGATATAAATCAATCGAACCAAACAAGCCTATTCTATGACAATCGAATTAAGCAAACAATAAACATACAATAGAATTGAAAGGAATAGAAATTGAATTGCAACAATTATATTAATCTCAAGAAGGAACCTGAATCAGTAGATACAACCAAAAAGATTAGTTTGCCATGGAATTGTGAAAGCTCTCAATATTTTCGTGAATAATCTGTACCGAATGAATAGTAACCGTGTTTCCCCTAAAAAGAAAAATAAGTTCATAACCCAACTGGGTCAGAAACATCACTCAGGCCCATTACAAATGATCCAAACGCTAAAATAAACTAATGCTGCAACTTGCACGAATTTTCTGGGAAAGTGTGCTCTGAATTTGACTTCGACGCCAATACGAAAGTCGTATCTCTCTCTCTTAGCTTTCTGGCGATTTTTAGAACGCCTCAATCGGATACTCCAAGCTCAAGTTATGATTTTTCTCGCGAAAGCTGCTAAAGCTGAAAAATAAATACGAAAAACAAATAAATGCAAAAATAAAATAAAATATAAAAACATAATAAAATATAAAAATAAATAAAATAAAGTAAAAAAATGCCTAAGTAAAAATATAGAAAAATGTACATAAAAATGCAATGATCAATATTCTTCCCATCTATAATTTTATTTTTAAAAAATACTACTAATATTCTCCT